CCCCAAAACCCCAAAACCCCAAAACCCCAAAACCCCATCAAGCAAAGTAAATAATAAAAATCAAATCTTTTAGCGAGAAATTAAAAATATACAAATATATCAAAATGACTTGTCGTTATTTTAAATTATCTGATCTTTATTTAGTGCTTAATTTTTTACAAATTTGCTTCTTTTTCCCGTATCAAATGCCTAATTTAGCGGTTTCCTGGTATTTGAATTCTTTGGTGTTTAAGCCCTTATATTAGCAGAAGAATTCCTTACAGACCTTGGAGAGCCATAGTCTGATTCGTAATCAACTTGAGATGATACTGATAAAATAGCTCTTTAGGAATATTGACTGAGAAGAATATTAGAAAGTTTTCTTTAATTTCTTTGCTGTTAATCTAATGTTGATTTTTCAGGATCAAAAATATTCTTATGAATAACATTTATTGCTTCTTGATCCTAGCCATCACAACTTATTATATCATCCTCATGATCAAAGTTAATGAATTAAAATCTTGGATTATATGCTTACTTGTCTGAAACCTCTTCCATACTTATAGATTGTCTATTATCTATCTAGCTATTATTCATTATCCTTCTATCATAAACTTTAAGCTTATTAACAGAAGATTTATCCTAAATGTAGTTGAACTTTTTGTTAAAACTTGACAACTTCCTTGGTTGGATTTTAGGCATTATTGTGTCACCTTAGTATATTAATTAGTTTTATGTAGGTGTTTGTGGCTATTTTTATTTAGTTCTACTACCATTATCGCTACTTCTTTAAGTGTTATCGGTTTCAGGTGAATTATTGTATGAATCTCTTTACTACTGCAAATTTCCGATTGATATGTTTGGTCTATCCTATCTCAATTAATAAAGCATACTCTGATTACTCTTCATTGTATCAGAAAGCTCATTTTACTATGAGTCATTCGTATTGTAATTCTAGTCTATTTTCTACTCAATTAGCTATTAAAAACTTTCTGGAAATTTAGATTTAGATCTAGGACTAGGACTAACTCTATGTAGAACATCAAAGGAAATTGAAGGGTTTATAAAAACTGGATTTTTATTTTAAGGTCTCTGAGTATAAATCATATTGATATCATCATTTTCATCTTCAAACCCCTCTTAGACTACTGTTAAAATTGTTAAATCCTTGCTAGCCCTTTCTGTTCCTTAAAGAGAAATTTTTCGCAATTTGAAATCATTATTTATGTTAAAAATCTTTCTCTTGAGCACTTTTTTGAACCTTAGTTTTGCCAACACAGTTTAAAATTTAACATACAGATTCTTTAATGTTTCAGAAATCACAATTGCCATATTTATGGCAAGGTTAAATCCGTAGATTCCAATAAAAAAGTAGCCTATCTGATATTTAAGTAAACCAGCCTTGACCCAGTCACTGTAAATTAGCATAGTGTAGCCTGCAATAAGAGTGCAAAACTCATTAAAGATCTCCTAATTTAGATTGTCATTTATGGGTTTGTAGTTTATAAGGTAAATTAGCTAGAGCAAACTAGTAAAGATGAAGAATATTAATTGAAAGGCTAATTGATTTTGAGCCACAAAAATTGTCAAGACAAATAAATATCTTCTAAGAATGAATAATGAGTGATAGAAAATACCAGAATATTTATCTTCGAAATTAATAGTCTCTATCAACTCATAAAGTATTTGCTTTAATATTTTTGCTTTCTCATAATTTTTCTTTGCTCTATACAGATATATTGGCATTATTATCATCAAGATAGCGTTAATCACTACGAAAAAAGCAGCTAAGATTACTGAAATTACTTCTCCTATTGATATTAACTTTATATAATGAAAATTAATAGAGCAAGCAATAGCGGATTCAAGAGCAAGTTCAATGAAAAATATCGCAAGGGCATTGAAAAATAAAAATCTCTTTAATGACAACTTTATCTTAATTATTCTACTATTGGTAATCTAGAATTACTTCAGAACAAAATAAACTACAATCAAAAATATGTATGTCAATAAAAACAAAAGCGGAGAACCAATTAAGTACAAAAAATTAGAGCTATCATATCCTAAAAATTCAAATCTAGCATTTAATGGCTCGTAATTATCTGAGTGCTCTAGTTAAAAGATGAATCAAATTTAAGGGGAAATGTGAAATATGTCAAAATTTACTACTTCAAAGATGGCCTTTAAAAACTTAAGAATGTTTGAAGTGTAATGAATGTTGAAGAGAGGTGAATGCGTTACAAGCTATAAAGTATTTATCATACCCCATAAAAACTGTAAACTCGTTCCAGCGGTCATACTAAGCGCTATACCCCCATAAATAACTGCAGTTAATAATGCTTATATAATCGTATTAGCTTCGTCAAATAAATCATTTTCTTTAATTGATTTTAGCTAAATAGGCAATTTTTAATCTTAAATTTAAAACAATTTGAGGTATCCAAATGTATTTTACGACTAAAAGACTTTATTGTCTAGAATGGATAGACTAAGAGTTCTATATACTTCTTCAATTGGAATTTCAAGAAGTTCCAAAAAGCTTAACTAAAGAACTAGTTCTAAACCATTAAAACTTATCAGATCCCATTTTTAAAGATTAATCGACTAGTCTTATCCTTAAATTGAAATTTATATCGCTTATTTTATCATCTATATCGAAGCACTTGTGACTTTAGAAGAGAAGCTAATTTTTACAATTTAATTAGGGGAGATAGATTCAATTTACATTTTAAGATTTTCATCAACTTTATTATCTTGATTTTATTGTTTATCTTCAGGAGTTTTGTTTACAAAGGGACTTTGAGCTCTAAATTCAGTATTTTTAGTTATTATTACATTTATTTAGTATAAAGTACTGAGATTTTTAATTGTAGAGTTGTCTGTCAAATTAACTATTATAATGTAAGACCCCACATCCCTTTATTAAGGTTTGAGAATAATTAAAGATTTTGTAAATTGAATAAACTAAGGAAGTTGATTGTAAAATAGAGCATTCAACTTTAAATCAACAGGGTTTTATTCCATATCTATTATCTAAGGGATATTTATTACTTTAATTTCATTTGCATTGACCATGACACTTTATTAAATTTGTTCATAGAAATAAGGAGCAGTATTCATGATAGACATATCATTTGTATCGTTTTATTACTAAGTGAAATTATTATTTAGAATTGTCTTATTTTCATTATGAGTTTAATTGTCTGATGTTTAATTATTTAATGAATTGTTTTAATAATTGGTAAAATTTTCACCTAAGTGCAAATTTTATGTCTGATTGCCAGTAGAATTTTTAGAAATACTAGTATTATAACTTTGATTACTTGAATTCTAAGTTTAATTTTATGTAACGTTAGAGTTTACATTTGAATCAGGTTGATCGATAGTGACATTTTAACTAGAATTATTCATAATTACTGATTAATTTGTGCTACTTGTAATATTACTCTAATTACCAGTTTAATTCAGACCTAAGCTTTAATTTTTATCTGTATTATTTGGATTATTGGTTTAATTAGTTTATGACTCGGTTAGATTATTAGATGAGGATTAATTGTTTTAATTTTCTTAATTGCCCTAATTTATAGTAGAATTTTAACCACTTTAATTAGTTGTGTTTGATTATGTTTAATTATCTAAAGTTAAATTTGTGATGTTGTTATCTTAATTTAATACTGAGCTATGATTTTAATTTGATTAAGATTAATTTTAATTTGATTAATTACTATTAGTGTTAGTTGAATTATCTCCTACGCTTTAATTTTGATGATTATTATCACTTGTAACATTTTAGGCTGTTTGATTATTTGATAAAGTTGAATTTATACCTAAATTTGAATTATAAGTTGTATTTCCATTATCAATTGTTTCGTTTGCTTAAATTTAACTTTAATTGAATGTTCCATTGGATAAATTTTAACTTCCATCTTAAATTTACTATATTGGATTTACTTTCAAAATAAAAGTGAATGATTAGAAGTATAGTCCTGACAAGTTAGCTTAGATAGTGATGAGATAATCTTATGACGTTGTATTATCTGCTGAGTAAATTTCTAATTTCATTCCTAATCCTTATTGTAGCTAAGAAAAAGTAATAAATAGGGGCAGGGCTATTCCATTATATAGATAAGCTTTATAAATAAATACACTATCTGAACATGCTTAACTATAAGTAAAGTCTTAAAATAAGATTGCTAGTTTCGTCTCATTTACAGTGTAAACATACTCTTAGTTAAAAGGAGGAGGAGATATTATGCCTTATGGTTCAATAAATGAACAGGAGGCTGGAAGTGTCTAAATATTATAGTTTTTTAATGGCTGTTGTTTTATACCATTAATCTAATTGATAGAAAATGTCTCTGTACGCATTGGAATAGATGTTAAAGTTGGCGTATAGATTTTTGGTATCCCACTTAAACTTAGAATAAATAGAGTTTATATTTCTATAGCTTAAGTAAAGGAAGTAGGATAAAATTCTATGCAACCAGTTAAAGGGTATCGATATATATATCCAGATTTTTAAGAAAGAGATTTTGAATTTATTTAATTAGTCTAACCAGCAAGAAAGTATTTCTAATCTACAATAAAAGCTGCTTTTGAAAATAATGTCTGAGATAGGGTTGTACTCAATCTTATCTAAATTAGAGTGATGCTATTCAATAAATCTGATAAAGTCAATTGGCCGTAAAATGATTAAGAATCTTCAATGTGAATCATGAAAATTGCTTTAGAAGATTAAATTTTTACATCTAAACAGTGACTTTTTGCGGCCATGTTGAAATACCAGGATTTAATCAACAAATTTGTACCTGTAAGAGTTTCTTAAAATTGTAGCAAAGCAAAATCATTTGAATCTGTGCCCAGATTTTCTGCGCATGACATTATGCTAGATTAAACTCCTGAAAGTGCATCATCCACAAAAACTTTATTTATTATTTAAGTTTGAGGTCCATTGCTATTTTGAATCTTTTGAGAATAAATTATTGATCCATCTGCTATTTAAATCTTTGATAAGGATAGCTACCCCGAGTTAGAACCTCCGAAATAAACATAGCTGTATGAAGATGACAGTGATATCGAGGAGCCAGTTAGTTGAACTGATGTGCTGCCATAACTTTTATAAAAGTTTATGCTCACTTAATTAGTAGTACTATCGAACGACAAAGATAATATTTTGACTTAGAAGTCCTCAGTTGTCAAGGCAATAATTTTATTATTAGAAAGCATTTTAATTCCTATTGCAGTCCTAGATTTGTATATCAAGTTGATATCATTGTCGAATTCATACAAAGACTTTAATACTTACCCAGTTGAATGATTTAATATAATTATTGCATAACTAGGGTTATTTGATTAGGCGACCAAAAATTATCCACCTTATTGCTGGAGAGAGCAATACATTATAGAGGTTGGAGCAACTTGAGATATTTCTCCTGCATTGTTGTATACTATTTAATTATTCCATAGACTTTTTCCAGTAATTTCATCTACTTTTATGATTATCCCATTTTATTACTGCTCTATAACATCGGATGAAGAAGAGGAGCCTCCGATAATAAGAACTTAAGCATCTTCATTATAATCTATACAATTAAAAGTTGTCTATCCAAGTTAACCACCTAATATCTAAGGAAATGGGTTCAGAGTTTACTCAGAAAAGCATATTTTTTCTTGAGTTGCAAAAAGCTTTTTTTTTCCTAAAATTTCCTTTGCAATTAAGATTTTAAAGGAAAGAAAAATTAAAAATTTCTCGAGTATTCTTAATCTATTCATTGATTAATATTATTTAAAGCACTTAAGATTAAAATATATCAAGAGATTATTGTCTTGTTTTATTCATTAATAACTAATGTGAATACTTGCATAAGGGGTTTTGGGGTTTTGGGGTTTTG